GTTTCTGGGGATAGCTGGCGGGCAACTACTTATTGCAGGGTTACCTTTGACAGGGGTGAAACTCTTAATTCAGCTTTAACCTCCAACTGCCTCTGTGCCCTCTCCGGGTGCAGTACATATGTGGTACATATACCATTAACAGCAGTGAGGGAAGGGCCATGCTCTGAGGCTGTGTGAATTGGACTGTTTGAAGCACTGTGCTGGAAGCAGAAGCAGCTGTTGGAAATACAGTGAAACCAGAATCCAACATGCAGGTGTGTTTAGATGTACGCTCCAGCTGTGGTACAATATATTTTTCCATCTGTTTTCTGCTGTTTTGAGAATGTACTCCATTGCTAAATCAAGTAATGTAACCTTGGAGAAGAAAAATCCTTTGGGTTAAGGCTTGAAAATCCTGTCCTTCTGAGGGCCTACTTGTGTCATTTACTTAGTTTAGAAGATGAACATGGCAAAATATATTATTTATTGAAGTTGATATAGGCACTAGGCTGTAGCTTCCTTTTCTCACTCATACATTAAAATTAATAGAAAAGAAGCTTCTAGCAGTTTAAACAGAATTTGCCTATATGGCACTAGGAGTTAGGAGTATTTCCTTATCTTTGTAAATTATTTAGCAGTGATAGAAATATTTTAAAGCTCGAAGTTCTGGATGTGGTCGCTTTGTTTTTGCTTGCTTACTTGTTTGCGTTTTAAACACAGTTGTAATTTCAAGTGCCATTGGTATCTCCTTAGAGAAGTCTGAATGTCTCTCCTTGCAATGTCATAAAGGGTACAATGGCTTCGAGTTTATTTTGCCAATACTGATTATAGTTGCTAATCACTGCTGCCGGGGAGGCTAAAAAATAGACACTGTAATTTGTGCATGGACAGGGTGAATTTTGGAGTTTCTACGTAGGCACCAAGTTTCTAAATTTGGATTAAACAAAAACTGAGTAAAGGTTGTGGAACTTGTGTATCAGCAAACATCTGTATATTTATCAATGCTACATGGAAGTTTGCGCTTCTGCCATATGTTCATGAGTTGTATTTGTCTCCTTTACACTGAAGGAAATTTAGAACTGTTTACAGTCCATCAGTGACTACTTGTACTACAAGCAAAAGACTTGTTTGGGAACTTAATTTTCTTTCCTTTGAACTTCTCCAGCCTTCCAATAGCTGCCAAACCACCCAGTGACTACAATATCTGTTCACCCACACAGATAACTCGATTTTCTTCCATGTCTCCATAGTGTGAGACACCATGTTCTGCTAGAGAGCACCGTAACAATATGTGCTGCATAACAAATGTGTAAGTCTAAGGCTCAGTTTGTGGTCCCTAAAGCCATATGACCTGCTCCATAGCCTTGTGTCACAGTTAGGAGTTGGGCCTGTTATATAAATAGATTTATATAAATATCTACATTTGTAGCTTGAATTCCTAGTAGTTATTTTTAAGGAGTGTCCCAAAATGAATTTATGGCATTTAAAATTGAATAACAGTCATTGTTACCAATAGCAAAACAAGGAGATAAAAACATTACAGCTTTTAGCTCTTATGGTCTTTTCTCTGTCTTGGAGTGCCACAGATTAGGTGTGGGTCACACAGAATGCTGTAGTCAAATTGTGTTCAGCAGTAGCATGAGTTGATCTGGACAGGAGCTTCTAAACACATTGTGATTCTCAGACCTCAGTTTCCTCCCTAAGACCCAGTAGAGCTTCTCTGTTAATTATCAAATGCCTACAGACCATCCAGGTGATACAGTGATGTGCAGGGTTCTTTGCCCTGCTTTCTAAATTAAGACAGTAAAATGAAGTTCTTTACTGCAAACTGACCTCAGACACGGAGTCTGGTAACAGCCAGTAGCAACCTACACAAAAAATAGCGGGGGGTTCACCTTACCCTCTCCATTGCTGTTGCAGTTGCTTGTCAGAAGAGAAAGGTGGAAATAGTGCAGACCAAAGATATCTTTAGGTGCAGCATGTAAAGGTTGCAATACATTTAATTTGGAAAGATTCAAAAGTTTTCATCAATAAAGATGCAGGACAGATGAGTGGGGATGAAATAGTGTAGGAAAGGATGGAGAAAGTTTTGGTTCAAAACCAGGAATAGATTGTACATCTCCTATGAATGCCAATAGAATCTTTGTATCACTTTGCACCATCGCTGTGGTGGTTTAGAAATTCTGTGATTGTAGAGAAACATCAAGCATTATTGGTTTCAGTGAAACATTTTTTACAACTCCAGGAATATTCTCAGTACAGACCAAACTCAGTATGAACCAAGTTGCTTTTGCCAAACTTCCTGCAGCAGAGAAAATGTATTGTAATGGAGATGTCCATCCCTCCTGCTGCAGATGGTCACACATCCCATATGCAGAAATGAAGGCAGATACTATGTCTTTGAAAGGTATGAATGTATGTCGAGTTGCTTGTGTGCTTATATAGTATTTATTGGGGGGCAGGAGGGAGGACAATAAAGGAAAGAGGAAGGGTGAAGTTCTAAGATACTAACAGGCATTGATATTAAACTTCCTTTAAAAGCCTTGTGGTTACCAAGACCTGGTTTACATATAGTGCATGTCTTCTGAGAGTCTGTAATGTCTATCATTAAAGCACAAGTGATGCCTCCACAATGCCATTTTAGTGAAGCCACAAACTATATGCAAAAGAAACCAGTCTGTTGGATGCAAGTGGTGACAGATAAGAACTCAGGTTTTGTAAATTCTTCTAATACAGCAACCCACGCATCATTTGGTTGGTATGAATTCAGTTGGTGTCTTCGTCATGATGAAGATAGCCTGAATTCCACTTCAAGTGCCTAGTCAATGATGAGAGCTAAGTACCTCTGAAAACTTTGAGGAAAGATTCACATGGCCTAAGACATGGAGTAGGGAGTTGCCTAAAACCACCCTGTAGGAGACACATGACATGTGGATTTGGATTCAGAACATGTCAATATAATGCTCAATAATTTCAAGTCCATGAATACTTTCAAATGTATTTAACCCCGTTTTTACTAACAAGTCTAAATACATATAGCTAATGCACATTTTGAGACTTGATACAGCATTTAACTGACTGAACTGTTGCAATTTTTGAGGCCCTTCATTGGTTCTTTGTTTCAGAGGGATTGAATAGCACAGGGGAGCAAAAGTGTTTCAAATTAATCTTAATAAGAAGGTGGGTTTGGTTTGTCATCTTCTCTCTCCGAGACACTACAGAAGCAGCAATAAACTTGATAAACCATGCATATATGAAAGCCTTGAGTAAGAGAGAAGCCTTTCTTTTCAGCTCCTTCATGTGACATTCCCATGAGCAATACGGGGCAGTAAGTTTTAGCTGAAACTTGTTATCGTGCAGCTAGCTAGAAACTCTGCTCCACAAGTTCTCTGTCAGGATGAAAAGAAGTCTCAAGTAGAGGAGTCTGTCCTCATCCAGAACTAGTCAATGTCTTTGTTAATGGCTTGGATGAAAGAATAATAAGGGCTTTATGTTTTCGGACAATCAGAAGGTAGAATGGTCTTCAAGCACATTTGAAAATGTAATTAGGATTGAGGATGATCTTGACAGATTGGAGCAGTGGCTTGAATTAAATAGAGAGTTCAGTAATGACAGAGAAAGCATGACATTTTGTGGAAGTTCTGCAGAAAAAGGAGGTGGGAGTAGTACTCAGTCATGAACTTAGACATGAATCAGCAATGTCGTAGTGCACTGACAGTCTTATGTAGTGAAGTACAAACAAGAATGGCATAGATTGGTATGATCAAAGTGATCCTTGAATCTATTCGCTACTACGACGGCCTTAAGAGGAAGATTTTATCCAGTTTTCAGCAGCAAACATTAAGAAAGAGGGGCATTTCCTTTCAGTAACAGAGAACTGTGAGCCAAGCAACAGAGGCTTAGAAAATGTGACCCAAGAATGATTGAGAGACTTTTTCATTCAGAGAAGAGGAAACTGTAACACACATGAAAAGCATCGGCAGTGGAGGAAAAAAGCAAGGTAGCAGACTGCTTTTTCATCCTGTATGGATGGATTAATTTCAGGGGTTGGTCTGGGGGTTCCTGAGCTCTGGAGTATAAACCCAAAGGTGAAAAATGAGGCAATGAGTTGAAGAGTTTAGAGCTCCTGCAGAGGTAAAAGGAAAATCTGTCCAAGAGGATAGCTGTGCGTGGGAATGGTTTTCCTGAGGAAGTCTGGGTGTCTTCATCACTGGATTTTTTTCAAGGACAACTTACACAACAGTTCTTGAAATGGTTTAGGCCCTTCCTAGCCTCTTCTTAGACCTGGTTGGATTCAAAATGCTTTATGTAATTTAAAGGCTGTTTAATTTTGGCTGTTGATACCAGCTGCAACTGCTGAACAGTTTTAGAGTCTTCCTTGCTGCTTTCTGTCAGTCCCAAATCGGCAAAGCCTCTTCTCTGATTCTCTCTTCTCTGCTTAGTTTCTGGTCCCTTTACACTTCTCTCCACTTTATGAATAAAATAAATGAAGAAGAAAAAAACCTGAAGGATTCAGTATGTATTTTGTTATATTCCTTCAATATTTTGTTATAAATTGAATGAAAGATGGAGGGGAGAATGGGCTTTTCTAATCATCTAACCATAATCTTGCTTCTTTTTCTAGTGTACCTATGGTCTCCGGTGATCAGAGTCCCTACATTTATATTATTGCTCCAGCAGCTTGATTTTGGGATATTGTGGTCTCTACAGCATCACTACCAGTTTGCACAGCAAGAGCTTTGCATAGCAGTATTGCAATCTGATAATGCTGTGGAAATTCTTTAGGAGGACTGGTGCAATACAAAGCTTTTATGTGTGTTATAGATGGAGTTTTAGTACATATGTTTTATGTTGACTCACATACGTTCATAACTCCTTTTTATATTGATTAATATCACTACTGAGGCAAGTACTTAGCTCTTCTTGGAATGCAAGCACAATTTTAAAAAGACCAAACTTTGACAGAACTGTACACAAATAATTGATGTCTTGTTTTTCCCTTCCTTCCCCTCCATTTTTAGCTGGCTGTGAGGTGGTTGGAACACAACTGCCGCTACCAGTACATGGATGACCTTCTCCAGTATGTCCGCTTTGGCCTTATGGATGTGGATACACTGCATACCGTAGCTCTTTCTCATCCTCTTGTCCAAGCTAGTGAAACTGCGACCGCTCTTATTAATGAGGCCTTGGCTTACCACCAGAGCGTCTATGCACAGCCAGTTTGGCAAACCAGAAGGACAAAACCTCGCTTCCAGTCAGACACACTTTACATTATTGGTGGGAAAAAACGTGAAATCTGTAAAGTGAAGGAATTGCGATACTTCAATCCAGTAGATCAAGAGAACGTTCATATCGCAGGGATTGCAAACTGGAGCGAGCTAGCGCCTATGCCTGTAGGGAGAAGCCATCACTGTGTTGCTGTCATGGGAGACTTTCTTTTTGTAGCTGGTGGAGAGGCAGAGCACTCCACAGGGCGCACTTGTGCGGTAAGAACTGCCTGTCGATACGACCCCCGCACTAACTCTTGGGCTGAGATAGCTCCAATGAAGAACTGTCGGGAACACTTTGTGCTGGGAGCAGTGGATGAGTACCTCTATGCAGTAGGGGGCAGAAATGAATTGCGACAAGTGTTACCTACAGTGGAACGCTATTGCCCCAAGAAGAACAAGTGGACCTTTGTACAGTCCTTTGATCGATCGCTCTCATGCCATGCAGGATATGTGGTGGATGGTCTTCTTTGGATATCAGGTAGAAAACGTTTCACACAGTTTGAGGTACTAACAAAATACCAAAATACTGTCTCGAATGAAACTAATAAGTCTTGTTATGTTTATGTGTCAGGATAACTTTTCTCTTAGGGGATGGGTATTTCAAAGAGTTTAAGCCTGGAAGCATAAAATCAAGCCTAATTAGAAGTATAGGAGCATAACATTCCATTCTGTGTGCTTCCTAAAAACAAAAAACAAGACCCAGTTTCTGTAGTATGATCTAGTACCACTGCATTTATTCCTCATAATGAAATGGAGAATGAAGTGCTTGTTGGCTTGTGTAGATGCAGGGCTTGAAGGCAGGTGTGTGAACTGCTCCCACTTGCTCTTGAGGATATTGTAACAGGCCAAGATGATCTTTGTTAGAAGTCATGCACGGCTCTGTCCATAACAAGTGCACATGACTGCTTGATGCAGCCATAGCTTTATGGCACAGATAGATGAAAGTATAGGGTTTGTAATCTTTAACATATCATTTGCAACTTAGTATGATGTATCACAGAATGGCAAACGTTGGAAGGGACCTTGGGAGATCATCTAATCTAACCCCCCTGCTAAAGCAGGTTCACCTAGAGCAGGTTGCACAGGACATTGTCCAGGTGGGTTTTGAATATCTCCAGAGAAGGAGACCACACCCACCCAGGCAGTTCAGTCAATGTGGGGGGGTTCCTGTCAATGTACTTTGACAGGAACACCCCCCCACCACCACCTTTTAGTAAGAAGTGTGTCACAGAAGATTATAATGTAGTATTTATTAAGGAAGTTAATGAGTAAATGAGGCCAGCCCTTGAGGAAAATGTTCAGTGATTGTCATCCTCACTGTGTATACCCTCAGGGTATTTTAATGTAGTCTGGGATCCCGCTGGTGAAAAGATGGTATGTGAATGAAAAATTAGGTTAGCTACTTAAGCCTTTGCTGTGCTTCTGTCCACGGGAGTGGTTGAGTCCCCATTCCTGGAGGTATTTAAAAGATGCGTAAATGCGGTGCTTAGGGACAGTGGTTTAGTGGTGGACTTGGCAGTGCTAGGTTAACGGTTGGACTGGATGATCTTAAAGGTCTTTTCCAACCTAAATGATTCTATGGTTTGGGGATTCTCAAAGTATGTCACTGAGGTTAGTGGAGCTTTCCTTGCAGATGTATCTTTTTGCCCATATGGATTAAGTGCTTTATGGGAATGGATACCCAAGCATTGGTGGGGGGAGGTAGCGGATATCTATTTTTATACATATACACTAAAATCGTGAGTAATTACTTTGGAATTAAAAGCATGACAGAACACAGAAAATCACCAAGATCCCTGGCAGGTGCTTTGGGTCAAGAACTGGCATCAAAAGAGTCTTGTAGAGTTTGTGCTGTGTGTTAATGCCGAAGCATGCACGCAGTGGGCTTTGAGACCCAAGTACAGTACAGAAACAGGGTTTCTGCTTTAGGGTACCAGCTGGGCATTTTCAGAGCATTATGCTGTTTATCCACTGCCTTTCCTGTTTTATCAGTGGAGAGAGATGTGTGTGTGTGGTGGGCAATTCAAATACATGGATGCTACTACTGTTGTGTCTTGATTAATTTTTTTTCCCCTCCTCTTGTGGTTTACATTTGTCAGTCTCTGTTTATGAAAAACAGACCTTTTTAGAAAATTGTGTAAGTGTGTTCGTATAAAATAATCGAATGAGCACTAGAAACATCCATCAGAGCGTGGTCCTTGTTCCAGTACATGAAAAAAAAAAAAAAAATTAAGTGTGTTCGTATAAAATCATTGAATGAGCACTAGAAACATCCATCAGAGCATGGTCCTTGTTCCAGTACATGAAAAAAAAAAATATTTTTTTTTCTTAATTTCTTTTTTTTTTCTGTACAAAAAAGCCCCCAAGGAAGTATTTGATAGAGATTTTTAAGTCAAATGTGGGACTGGTTGAAGATTACTTTTAATCTTTCCAGATATGCTAGGAAAGGGAAAATTATGCTGAGGATTAATTAATGTGCTTAGTTACGTAAGTGAAATGCATGCCTGCCTGGGTGTTTAAATACTATCTGCATTTATATAATGAAGCAGTGTGATATGCTGTTCAAGGATATGCCTCTAATACAGCTGTAGAATCAGGGGAAGAGGTAAGTGGAAGCCTATTAGACGAACTCTTTAAAACTGGGCAAAACAACACAAAATATTTTATCAGTATTGTTCCTTTTATATTTGAAAATGCTACCAACATAACTTCTGTTGTAACATCACAGTAAGGAGCAATGTTTTGGCAGTGGAATAAGATAGACAGGACTTTTTGGTTGTGTTTTGTATGGTTTTGAGAAAATGCTTAGCAGTTTTGAGTTGCTAGATTCTGACAGGTGATTATGAATTACAAGAGCATGCGATGCAATACTTCAGTAGGGTATTGATCTGAATTACATACAGATTGAAAACTGGGTTCTGTGTATTGAATAGAGTTGTTTTATAGATAAAAGCAGAGGGAGAAACAGTAACTGTAGGTAGCTTTCTAGTATTAATTAATTGCTTAGGGCTAGAATGTAGCTTGCTGTATGTGTGTATTCAGGGGCAGGGGAACAGTACCGAGAGATGTTCTATTGTTCCAAAAACATGAGTAGTCACTGCTCAAAAAAATCCACTGTTCATCATCAACAGTAAAGTGTTAGCGTAAGAGTAATCAGTAATTCAGGAGGGAACAGAATTTTGAAGATTGTGGCCTAAAATTAAGTAATTAAAAAATTAGTCTGAGTTAGGGATGTTTCTGAGCTGTATCCCTGCTGCTTTTTCTGGGAAATCAGGTCATCAGCAAGAGCTCTCAAAGTCAGTCTGCTACTACCAGCTGGCAAGGTAACCATGAGGATGTGCCCAGTTTTTTTAGTAAGTGAATAAATTAAATAGTGATAATATAAGTTTCTAGCTCTTGTATTTGTGGAGAGAGTCATCAAAACATGACCTGCACACAGACCATTTACTTATTCTATAGCCAAAGCATCAGCGCCTCTGCTACAGCCCCTTGCCTTCTAAAGGCTTTTCTAATCAAAAGCTGACTAGACTTAAGGGGTTTCTGTTATTATTATTGGGATTCAGTGTCCGCTTTACTTTGCTGCTCCTTTGGGACAAATGTGAGAAGGAATAAAAAATAATAGAGCATAAAAACTTGGCAAAGGCAGCAGGGAAGGAGAGTGTATTTAAACTAAATGCTGTAAGCACACACTGGCAGTAGGAGATGGGTGGTTGGTGTTTCAGGTGACAGAGGGACTTCTAAGCTGCCACCACCCCTTTGGGCTTTTTCACCTGTCGGAAGGCTCAGAGGGAGCCTTCTGCACTCTGCAACTAGTTGGACCCTCTGGTCAGCACAAGTGGGTTCAGCTCTTGAGTTGTCTGAGCTCCATATATTGTGGAACATATTTTTACATTTGTGTCATTATTTTTTCTCGTCTTTTCTTTATTTTTTCACAGCCCGCATTTTGTTTTATTTTCTTATTTTAAAAAGTAAATGAGAATTCATTAAAATAAGTTTTCTGTATTGACAGTACAACATTGGGCAGATGGTTTGGAAATTTTATAGAAGGATGAATCTTACAGGCCCCAGTTAACATCTGACACTGTGACCCATTTCACAAACGAATTGCATGCCACATGCTTGAAAAGTGAAGTATTTGAGTGAAAGAGAAACGAAGTGAACCAAACCCTTTGGAGTTCAACATTACTAACAATCATTCCCCACAAAAGCAGGGAAATATTTTCCATAAGAGTGAGAACTTGAACTATGCCCGTTTCCCTGCATCCTCTGTGGCGCGCACATGCAAATCTGGAGACCTACTTTTCCATCCACGTTAACCTTCTTCCTCCCGTGTAGGTGGAGCGCCCGTGGGGACAGAGAAGGGCAGGGAACCTCTGCCAGGCAGTTCAGCTCTGGGCCATTCCTGCACCTGCAGCTGGGAATAACCAGGCTTCCCCTCAGCCTCAAGTGCTCAAGAGATTAGCACATGAAAAGTCTTCTCTAAAGCAAAGTATTATGCTGTTGTTTCGCAGAGGTCCGAGTTGCCTGACCTTAAGCGTGTCAGCTAGAATCACATCTTGACATGCACATGGAAACTCAGCTTGGGGGGGAGAAACAAGTCACCCCCATACCGTTGCTTTGTATTTAACAGCTTTTTCTTCAAAATTCAAGATTCTTTTTTTTTTTTTTTTTCAGTTATTATTTTTTCCCTAATGATGGAAATTTTGATCAGAAAAATGATGGAGATCACATGTGTTGGAGAATTATTCTGAGTTTGGAAGTGATTTGGGGGGAAAAATGTTACCTTACTATCAGTATGCTGTTTGTTGTGAGGAGAAGAAGATTTTTTCTCAGTAAATGCCTATAAAATTGTTTTATGAAAAATAGATCTGGAATAAATAGGAAACTACAGTGTCTAACTAAATCAAGTATTGCAGTGTAGCAGGCACAGAAATTACCAGGAGCAGGAGCTTAACAAGTACATAAAAATTGCCTCAGTGACCCAGTCTTAGTCTGTATATAGAACAGTGTTTCTATATTACTATTATTATTATATGTGAACAAAGAAAATGGGTCTCACACCTTTCAAGCATGAAGGTTATAGGTTTGATGCCATTGATTCTTCTTAGCTTGAATGTAAACATTGGGGTTTAATGCTTTTTTTTAAAAACAAACAAACAAACAACCCACAAACAAACTAGGGCTTGTAGCCCTCTTGTTTGCAGCTGGATTGCAGCTAATTGTTAATTTGAGCTGCTGGTGGTGTCTTCCAGGGCACCCGTTAGGGTGGGCGAGTGTGCTCCAGCTCAGCTGCCCTCGCTGCACCTGGGCTGGCTGAAGTGAAAGGCAGGGGGCTTACGTGTTGCGGAAGGGTTATCTTGTGTTTAACACACAGATGCGTAGGAGAGGAGAGATTTCTATTTTAAAACAGCAGAGCACCTTGGGGCGCATGTCATGAGTTTCTATATATTCCCCGGATTTGCTGGAAGGAATACACGTGGGAGCTCTTTGCCAACATGTAGTTTTTTACACATCTCCCAACGAACTCGGATTCATGTGTGCAGCCTAGCACTTGGGGACTTTGGAGAGAGTTGTGAGATTTTTCTGGGGGATTTGGATTGGATTAGACTTCTCAAGTCATATGGGGGTCTCACTAGGACATGTTATAAATATGGATTATAAATTTTTGATTGGGGAAAATGGTGTTGAATCTACTGCCTCCCCCCCCCTTCTCTTTTTGGAGGTGTCTTTATTGAAGGTCCTTTTCAGTGCAGTTTGTGGACTGTTTGGGGGACTGTAACAAAGCAAAATATTTCACATGTGTGGGCAAGGGCTGGACAAGACAGGTTTTGGAGTCCTCCAGGACCTCTCCATGTAGAGGAGCACTGTTGTGTGAGCTGGGAACTTGTGGGTGTTGGAGAGCTTAAAAAGCAGGGTTTACAGCCTGCAAGGGAGTGAGCAACAGTGAGTGTGGCAGGGTAGAAACATTGTAAGCCCACAGGCTGGATGCTGGGCTTCCCATGAGCGTGTTCTTGCAGCTTTAAGAGCAAAAAATACTCAGGCTCTTCCTTAGAGTGCTTCTTGCCTCCTGGAAACCCTAGTCCTCAAAGCAAGCTACTCATGTCAAAGCGGTGCAGTTTATAAAATCCAGCAAGTGTTGACCAAACTGTAAATTATCTGTCATTCACCCCACCAGACATTGTTTTCTCTTTCCTTAACTGATGGGTTACTACCACATTAGCTGCTATTGCTTGACATCAAATTTAATAGCGTGGTTTGTATTTTTAAACACTTCTTTTCAAGTGTAGTTATGACGCCTCCCTGCCTTTCCCCTCTTTTCCTCATAGAAAGCACTGCAGTGAAGTTTAAGAAATTATCTCAGAATTACCCCAGTTTTTATGAGAAAGTATGTATTATTTTTAGTACCATTTAAACTTTTTTTTTCACTTTTCCTGTTTTTTAAGAGACATATTGCTCTTCTTTTGCCCTTTCCCAGCTGCCTGGAGTATTTTTAAAAAAAAAGAGTTCAAGAGGACATTGCAGACTTGTTAAATTTGAATTTTGGCAGAAAATTGTAAACTTTTGCTATAGCACTTCAAAGTTAGGAGGAACTTGAGTTTGAAAATTGATGCAGATATAAGATGGCATATTTAATGACAGATGTATCTATAGAAACCTGTTAAGATGCAGATTATCCCCCTGGGGAGGGGAGATCAAAACTGCCAATCTATAAAATATACTTGTTAGGGGAAGGCATGGAATCTATCTCTGCGAGCACTTTGATTGCAGGGGACAGTGTAGCAGCATGTGGCATCATAACCTAAGAGCAGACAAATCAGCTTGATGACTTTCAAAGCCAAGAATACTGCTGGAGGCAAGGGTACTCCAGTCTAGAAGAAATTAAAACATATAGAGACTGTTATTAATTCCAGATCTATTTTTGTGTAGTCAAATCTGTATGCAAATCCTTAGCATCTCATTTTGGTAAATTAATCTAAAAGTGAAGAAGATGAGCAATATTGCAAGGGGAAAAATGTAAGCTGTGTACTTGATATGAAGGGCTCTTTGTGAAGAGAGGCAAATAATTTTGCTTATTTGATTATTTCATTATTTTACGAGGAGGCAACACCCTTCTTTCTCTTCTTCTTCCACGTCTTTCCCCCCAAATTAAGGTGCCCTTTCTGAATGGAAATACAAGACACAGTGTTCTGTTTCTGATGCATCTGCTGTAGTTTAACATTCTGGAGGTAATCATCCAAATAACTGTGATTTTTATTTCTCAAAATACTAATCTGACATCTCATTTTTAAACATAATGCTAGGAGTGAAAATAACTATGTAAAAGAAAATCAAATTACAAAACAGATATTAGAAAAGATTGTTTTGCGCGTGTGGCTGACGGCCACTAACACTGTGAAGTCTGTACCCCAGTGTAGAGACAAATAACAGGTTGTGAGATTAGATATGGGAACAGTCATCGCCTCCCAATGTGTATTCTTGCGTGTGTGCTTCTCGGGAGCTGTGATGGGCAGTGTGTGGCATAGTGTGATGGAAACAGTTTGGAAAGACTACATCTTGTCTTGGCTGTCTCGTAGCCTGTAAGTGTCTCTGAGCTGGGAGCTTGTGCTACCGTCCATGGGTAGGGGGGCCCAGTACAGGCTGGTGCTTGCAGAGATGCACCCAGATAGTAGTGTCATTCCTCCCTGCCACTGTGGTTGAAGACAAGATTCCTGAATAGATTTATCCATAGTTTCTGCTATCCGTTGATCAGATTCTTGGCCTCACTCAAGTTATTTGAAGTGATTAGAGGGTACATCTATGTTAGGAAGTAGCTGAGCCCAGTAGGAGCAGATCAGCAGACAAAACCTTGGTACCCAGTTCTCTATATCTACTCCATGTACAGTTCACAGTTTTTGCTTGGAACTGGATTTATTCTGGTCCTCTGGACCAAACATTCCCAGCACTCAGCTGGTACAAAACCATCTGAAAGACCAGTTATTATTTCACACCTTTATGCCTTGGTTAGGTACTGGAGCACAACTGGTGCATATCTGGAGCAGAGATTCTGCTTTAACTTGAACGCGCACCAGTACCACCCTGCAGCCTGAAATGACGTGTGAGAGGTGGGGGAGTCACTTCAAAATCACAGTATGGTTCTGAACCAAAATGCTGTGCTAGGTGCAGCTGGAGGCTGGCAAAATGAGGATTCCCCAGCATGGAGGCAGGTTAAGACTGGTTGGGGATAAAAGAAAAAATCCCCATGGCCTTTAGTAGGACGGGGCCATAGCTCAGCTGGCAGGAATGAAAGCAGCTCTGCTGCTGCTCTGTCTGAAACAGGGGATGTCCTTGCAAAAAGCGAAGCATAAACAAATGTAATGACATATGAAATAAGAAATTCCTTCCTCTCATTGCTGTGGATTTTGTCTGTCATTGGCATGTGCTGTTAAAACTAATATAAAAACTTTGTCTGACTATATAAATTTCACTGGTGTGTGGCTGCTGGTGTGCCCTAGTTAAGTCCAGACCTTCTGGTAGGATGAAAGGTGAGGTGTGGCTTGCAGGCGTTATTTCTGGTTCCATCTTCCCATGTCCCAGGGTAGTGACAGAGGGGAAGCTGGGACCTGTGGCAGTGCTGCAGTGTCACCACCTCCCCAGGAGGCTTGAGCACACTCAAGAACATATTTATGCTGGTAAGATTACAGAATTGAGACTGAAGCATTTTTTCACCAGTTTACTCAGTGAGATTTCCATTTAAAACCGATAAAGTACAGGATGATCAGGGATTAAACATATACTGTGTTGAGGTAAATAGTTGGTTTGTGGCATCTATTTGGGCCAGACTCTATTCCAGGCTTTTCTGAGGTGCTTTATCATAGAATCATAGAATTGTTTGGCTTGGAAAAGACCTTTAAGATTATCAAGTCCAACTGTTAACCTAACCCTGCAAAGTCCACCACTAAACCATGTCCCTAAGCACCTCATCTGTCCGTCTTTTAAATACCTCCAGGGATGGGGCCTCAACCACTTCCCTGAGCAGCCTGTTCCAATGCTCAACAACCCCTTCCATGAAAAAATTTTTCCTAATGTCCAACCTAAACCTCCCCTGGTGCAACTTGAGGCCATTTCCCCTCGTCCATTTGCCCATTACCTGGGAGAAGAGACCCAACACCCACCTCACTACAACCTCCTTTCAGGCAGTTGTAGAGGGCCGTAAGGCCTCCCCTCAGCTTCCTCTTCTCCAGGTTAAACAACCCCAGTTCCCTCAGCTGCTCCTCAGAAGACTTGCGCTCCAGACCCCTCACCAGCTTTGTTGCTGTCCTTTGGACATGTTCCAGCAACTCAACATCCCTCTCATAGTGAGGGGCCCAAAACTGAGCACAGTATTCGAGGTGTGGCCTCACCAGTGCAGAGTACAGGGGCATGATCACTTCCCTGCTCCTGCTGGCTACACTATTCCTGATACAAGCCAGGATGCTGTTGGCCTTCTTGGCCACCTGGGCACACTGCTGGCTCATATTCAGACGGCTGTCAACCAGCACCCCCAGGTCCTTTTCTGCCAGGCAGCTTTCCAGCCACTCTTCCCTGAGCCTGTAGCGCTGCATGGGGTTATTGTGACCCTAGGGCAGGACCCAGCACTTGGCCTTGTTGAGCCTCATACAGTTGGCCTCAGCCCATCGATCCAGCCTGTCCAGATCCCTCTGCAGAGCCCTCCTCCCCTCAGGCAGATTGGCACTCACGCTGAATTTGGTGTCATCTTCAAACTTACTGAAGGTGCACTCAACCCCCTCATCCAGATCATTGATAGATACCTTGCTTTCCAAACATTATTGAAAGGTACGTATGCTAATAGTAGAGTTGTTTCTGGTCACTATGGAGGAACCTCCCAACATATGTCTATAACTAAACCAGAGGTGTTCTCTCTGTAATACAGACTAAATGCAGAATTTCCTTCAAATATATATAGGTGAGTGCAGTTGCACAGGGTTGTGCTATGCTTTCCAGCATCCCACATCATGCTCCTGGTTAGGCAGAGCTCCTCTCCGACCTCTTCCTTCTCTCTGATGCAAGCCCACCTCCTCCTCCTCCTTCAAACAGTGTCACACACTGCACGCTCCTTGGAACAGGGACAGGTTTTATCTTCGTGCCTGGACAATGGCTGAATGCACAGTCATTTATAAATAGGTCAATTTTTATCTCATTTTTAGCCCATAGAATTAGCTTTGCAAAGGAAGTAAGTGTGGGTGTGTATGTGAGGAGGGGTGTGTGTTGTTATTTTGTGGTTTTAGATGCTTGACAAATGTGTTACTTACTACCTTGTAACCAGATTAAAAAGTGCAGTGGAATGTAAGCATAAGTGGTGGTATGCAATGTAATTATGTCAGCAAATGAACCCTAGAACTGGTTATTTTGCTGTACCTGATCTTGGTCCTGGTTTTGCTTATACGAAAAAATGTAACCTGTATAAACTCTTTCATAGGAGGAGTAACAAATACTGCACAGTATCAAAACAGGCTCATGGTCTATGATCCTAAGCAGGTGGGTGTCTGTGTTGTATGTCTTTCTCTCATACATTTGGCTTCATACATGTCTCTTAGCAAATACATGCAATGATTCTGTAAGGCTGAAAATGCTGACCATTCGATTTAGTGGTGTTTTAAATGCATTTTGTACTGATGTGTGAGTTTAACAGAGCAATGGAGACCCTGGCTTTTTATTATATTTTTTTAAGCCTGTAGGTGTTAGAAACATCTAAATTAAATACAGAAATGTGGTTTAAATCTCCTGTATTTATCAGTATTTATTTTGTTTGTTCCTTTTCCTTTTTGTAATCCAGCAGCCCAGGGCAACATATGCTCAAAGTCAGTGTCACAAAACTGCTCCTTGTCATTGGCATTTCTTTTTTGAATTGCATATATGGGCTTTTTGTTTCCTGCATACTTCCAGGACTATACTACCTGGCCGTGACTTTTTCTGCTGGCTGCAAGGGTGCCTATCATTTCATTACCCAAGCACCTAAAATACCTTTTAGGGATTATTTCATACATTATGCATGTGTTTTGATTAGGTTAGCATGGCTCAGTAACCATCTCAGAGGGTTAGGGCATGGTTATGCCCTCTTGCTTGTGTTAGGAATTAAAAGTCCTAAGCTTGCAATCAGAGTTGCATAGCCTGACTTACACCCGCGTGGGAGAGTATTGACTTTTCTGTAGGACAGGGGCTTTGATCGCTGTATTTGGAACCAAGTTGTGCCAGGAGATACTTCTGTGTCGTTCCCACTGAGTTTTTAAAGCATAGCGCATACAGGTCCTGAAGCAGAAAGGAGGCAATGGCACACCTGCCTCTTTCTTTTTGAGGTACAGTTTTATGCATCCATTGTACACGTCCTGATTTGGTTCTAAATCCAAGTAGTAATTACAGGCAGCGCTTTTATTTTGCTTATGAGGGGGACACACTCTTACTTAGATACTGTTTCTCTATTGTGTATCTTTTGCTTTGATTCTTTATTCGTTGATGTGAAAGTTGCACCCCAAAATACCGGTGGCAGGGCTACTTCAGCGTGCCATGCCGACGATGAGAAACCCGGGCTGGCGTGTAAAGAGTTACAGAGGAAGTGTGCGCTCGCATTCTTCAAATGAGGTCCGCTTCGTGTTTGTACACACAAGCTCTTTTTAAAAATTCTGCTGGCATATTGTTTACGGTGGGTACTGGAAACCATCACATCTGCTTGCATCTCGCACAGAATCTCAATAACTCTATCATTCAGCACCAGCGCTTGCTTCTGCGCGAGGCCTTTGTGGCGAGTCGATAATGCCTGCCATCTGCCACAGAGCACACAGCTACCTGCCAACAAGCCGGCTGGGGTGACCTCTGCTTCCCCACCACTGATTAGTATTCACACGCTGGCTTATTAGAAATGACCCCACCAGGCCCCTCTGTTTCTTTGCCTTTGCAGTGCTTTGCAGCTCACCTGGCAGGCACTGCAGTGGAGGAAGCTAAAGATATAATCAGGGGATGCAGGCAGGCTTTGCAAAGCAGATGGTGTCTATAGTCTGGTGTTAAGAGACCGGACTACTAATGCAAACATTAATGCCTAATATTCAACTATTACACATTGAAATGTATAGCTATATATCGTGGAGGTTAAAAGGCAGTAGTGTTAGAGGCTCTTGAGTTACCGCAGGCGGTAGCACATGCAACACAAAGAATTTCCTCACAGGTTTTAACTTCCTTCACTTAAATAAATTAATCTCGTCCATTGCCAGGGTGTTTGATTTGGTAAGCGTAGCAGGAGCAATTGTTTTCTTAGGTTTAAAATTCTGTGCTTTAATCCCTCTTCTTCCACGTCCTCTTGCCCCTCTGCAGAACAGGTAGAATTCTTGAATGTTATTAATGGGGAAGAAAAATATGCAAGAGGATGTTACTTTGTAAGTGCCCACAAATAAAGGGTTAGCATTAAATGAAATACATGAATCATTTGAGAAGATTCTTTAGGAAATTATTTTTCCCTGTTGCTTCATTTCCCAAGGATAAGATCAAATAAGCTTCTGAATAACGAAAGGTAGAAGAATCTGTCTTCTCTCATGACAGAGCTAGTTGGTATGGATAATTTTAGCGCTGCATACAAAGGAGACATCTAAGAGTCTTGCTTAAGGAGGATTTGCTACTGAATTATAAAGAAGAAAAAAAGTTTTGAAACCTGATGAGCTAAACAGAAAAAATACAGAGCAAGAAATACTATTAAATTAATGAATTCAAATTTGAGAACTGTAAACCATGTGTTGACAGTCCAGTACATCTAGTCAGTGTTATGACCAACATGTATGTTTAATATGTGAACAACAGAGGTATATACACTTGTGATTTCTGGCCAAGGGTAAGGAGAACACTGCTAACATGCTATTATTACTGTACTACTAATATAGGTACGGCTTTGAGCAGTGCTGAGACAAGTTCTCTTTTCCTCTTTCCAGAATAAGTGGTTAAGCCGTAGCCCGATGTTGCAGAGGAGAGTGTATCATTCCATGGCTGCTGTCCAAAGGAAACTTTACGTGTTAGGTGGGAATGATCTGGACTACAACAATGATCGGATCCTGGTTCGGCATATAGACTCCTACAGCATAGATGCCGACCAGTGGACGCGTTGCAGCTTCAACATGCTGACAGGCGAGTAGTGTACACCAACAGAAGAAACTCACTACTGTTAGAATAAAACATCAATTCTTTTTCCTTTTAGATGCCTTTAGTATGTGGAACTCCATGACTTTGCCTCAATTGCCTCTGATTTAGGGGCTATCATTGGCCAACAAGACACTTGATTACTGTTCCAGTATTCGGTGTTCTATAAAACATTTGTCTTAGGACACTGTAGGATATTTTTTTAAGAAGGTGCACATAAATATGATTTAATTAAGCAAACAAAAATTCTTTCTTGTAGTATTACCAGTACTTATTTTTGATTCTCCAAAGGCTTGCCTGCACTGATAGATTTAGCTCCCTGTTTGAGTATTCAACAGGCAGATCCATCTCTACCATGATAGCATTTTGTAGTGCTTGCTGCTGGCATTATAAAGCATTGTCAATTAACCATCACTTATTTGTAAGCAATATCTTCTCAATAATTTACCCAAAAGGAGGTGCCTGTTGGAATTCTGTCAAGTCAGGGATGGCTCGAGTAACTCGTTTAGCTATGGATCTGTGAAGTTCCTCTTGACCATCATTAGGAGGAACTGTAACAGTGGCAACTTGCAAAGCACTGCAACTCACTGCCCCTGCCACCCATTCCACCAAACTTCGCCACCACTTAACACGATTCTCAGATGTACTACTCCCTCAAATCCTTGGGAGAGACAGGCATGTGACACTTTCTCAGAGTAGCACCAAGAGCAGCTTTGCAGAAGAGGATGCCTTTCCAGGACAGCAGTAACATTGGGGCCGTTCTCTTGTGCAGCAGACTCGAAGCTTAATTAGTAACAGTATTGGCTGCCAAAAAGTTTCAGCAGAGACTGCTACAGGAGTCCTAGAACTGAGCCTACCTCACTTCTCATCCTCTTCCATTTGGCGTTGCATTAGTTTCTGAGGTCTACCACTGAAAAGGATACAAAGGATCTAGGAACTTAACTAGAAGCTCAGGATAGCCAGAAACACCGTTTGGAGAAATGAACGTCTGACAAATAAGACAGTCACCTTATGTCACTTTTTTCCTGGTACATTTAAAAGCTGTTCTAGTGGCAACTTTGTTCGTTAGGATACTGCACTGGGTTTCTTAATCTCTGTGATCTGGAGAAGGGTTGCCGAGTTTCTGAGGCCATCAGAGTACTTCATGGACACTGAGGAGAGACGCATGGATTAAAAAGGAAGAGTAACAGACTGTCAAACACAACTAGTTTTTCATATCCCTTTTGCTCTCCATTTAATTATTATCTGGAGGAACGGAGAGCCTTTGAGAAGAACATAATCTGATTTGCAACTGCAGACACCCCCCTTCTGGAGCTGACCCTACACCACTAAATGCTGTGAAGGTAGTACCCTCTCCTCAGATATGACCTGGTGGGTTGTTTCCACAAACTGCACCTCGAGAAGCCATCTAAGCCTTTCTTTGCATCTCTGCAACTGATGGTATATGTGTCTGTTGCACTGTGTAGTGCAGGTTTTTTTAGGCCTGTATTTATCCTTCAAAACTTCCAGACTTGTTCAGGTGACCGTTGCTATGGGAATGAGCTTGCACAGCAGCTTCTGCAACGTTCGCCATGCTTGTACCTGGAGGAACAGGGGGACGAACAGGTGTGGGCAGAACAGGAGGGGCATTCAGCGCTCTCGGCCTACGTGTCTGTCTGGATGTGCATGTGTGATAGTAGCTGAGAGGCAGGTGGGGAGCTTGCCTATCACCTACGAAATACAGGCATACAAAAACCTGTGCCGCTGAGGAGACAGCAGATGGTCCCCGGCACAGCCTCAGTTTATTGCTCATCCAGGGTGTCTCTCCGGACAGCACCGTATGGGGCTCCCGCGGAGAGCAAAGCACAGCCCTCGTGCTTCACCTTCACTGCTGCACGTTGTGAATTCTGGAACAGTAAAGTTACTGCCGGGTGCATTTTCATGGTATGACAGAACTCCAACGTTCAGTGTTAAAAGGGTTAATTGAACACTGAAAGTGGTTTCCATTTCCTTTTTCGCTTTAGGTCAAAATGAGTCTGGAGTCGCCGTCCACAATGGTAGAATATATTTAGTTGGCGGCTATTCGATTTGGACAAATGAGCCTTTGGCATGTATCCAGGTGAGTGATTTAGGTTTCTTTTAAAGTCTTTTCCAATAATTTTGCAAGGATACGTTTTGCACAGAGGTTATTCAAAAAGGAAAATGCATGTGAAGTGGAGAGATTAAGGATGTTTCTTATGCAGCCATTGAACCTGCATAAACACAGAGGAAATGCTGTGGATATTAAAAATATTTCCAGATCAGCCATTAGATCCAATTAATCTAAGATATTCTAGTAAAACAGAGTTGAGGAGTCTCCTCTTTGGCAAGGTTTGGGTGAAATAGTGAGTGTATATATATGCTCAGGTTTATGCAATCAAGGTCAAAAGTTAAAAGGGTTGCAGAAATGGATGATGGGGCATGGGCTAACAATTTTTCAACCCATCTTGTGATTTTTTTTTTTTATTTTTTTTTTCTCTCCAAGTTGTCTTTCTGAAGAGCAGCCAGAGTTAACGAGTTGTTCTTTGACAAAGTTCAGTCAGCCTGCAACCTGCCCTAGCGCTTACGGCTTCAAAGCTTGAGTGGGAGTTTTTTGATCCCTGCTGTAGGCAATAGGTTGTCCAACAAACTCTTCTGCTCTCTCATCTTGTGTAAGAGCAGCTTACCTGCAGATCCATGGCTTTCAGATATTCCTGTACAGAAATTAGGAATTCTTATCTTTCTGCATTTTTCTGAGTGAAGCAAATCTGCATCACAGCCATCACTTTGTGACCAGCTGGGCAGTTAGACAGAAACTCGTTTACATCTCAGTTTCTGCACTTTTGCTGATAAACAACATTTTCATTAGCTTCCAACTAAGGATTTTAGGATTTCACCTCTAAACTGTCCCATAGGGCTAGAAGTTAGACTTAGCCTAAGAAGGGAATGTATTACATGTCAAGCTGCTGGTCTTGTAATGAACACTTATTAGCAAGAGTTGTAAAATCTTGATCATGCAAGATGAGGAGTTAAAACCATGTTCTCGTCATTTTTTTTTTTTCACTAAACTGCTGGGTACCATACCTAGCAATTTTTATTGGAAGAATTCATTCAAACTGGCTTCCATAGCTGACATACAGCGCTTCAGATGGAGTAACAGCACAGTATCAAGGCAGTGGCTGTACTCTACCAACACGCTCATTTATAATCAGCAGGTTCTTTGCCGTATTGCACCTGGGTTTAAATACTGCTTAGAGACAAGTGAAAATGATCCTGGGATCTTGCTCTCTTAAATGGACATTTGTCCACATCCCCAAACTAGTTGTGAACTGGCAGCCCACCCAAGACCGTCCCCGCATTAAAGGAAAAAGTAGAGCGAGTGCTTTGGCAGAGCTGTGTGTGCTGCCCCTTCTCAGTTGTTGGCAGTGTGCCTACCTTTAACCAGTTAAACTACCCCTTTTATCTTCAAATTCAGCAAATTTGAGGTTGCTCTCTCATTTGGAAGAAAAAAAAATAATCCACTTTTTCCATATATTTTTTCATTTTCTTCAAGTCACTCATTTATTTGGCCTTTCTGACTTTGATAAGAGCTCCCTTGCTCTCTGTATACCCCTAAGCTGGCAAATGCTTCATACTTTGTGGTAACAGTAGCGCTTCTTTGCAGAGTACCCTCCTTGCATGCTTGCACCTTCTGCTGCCAGGCAGCAGGCTCCAATGGCGCTGCCGGCTACTGGGTGCCTGAGCTGGGATAAGATTTGGCCGATGATCACAGCCATGAATCACCAGATCCATAAATACAGCCTAAAAGTGATCTGAAATTACATTTCTGGTGGGATTAATGGTACCTATATGCGGTGTGTGCCAGCAAACTTTTTTCAGCATTCTTCTGTGATCTGTGATATATTTTGTACACTTTGGCCTGCAGGTGCTGGATGTTAGCAAGGAAGGGAAGGAAGAGGTGTTCTATGGCCCTACGCTCCCCTTCGCTTCCAACGGAATAGCAGCATGCTTTCTTCCAGCTCCTTATTTCACGTGCCCCAACCTTCAGACTCTGCAAGTGCCTCACCACAGGATCGGCACAATGTGAGACACAAAACATGCACTTCATAAAATCAGAAGTGGAGGGAGGAAAAAAAAAAAAAAATCAATCCCTGTGTATGGAAGGGTTTCTCTGGATCAGCGAAAAGGATCAATCCACACGGGCTGCTGCTTTACCTTCATACATTTGTCTTAAAGTCGGATCACAATAGGCAGGAAGGAAGCTACAAAAACTGTCTGCAGTTTCTTTCCTCTGCCTCAGATGCAGAAGCATATACGTGGCAGCATTTGGCATTTCTGCTGGTGACTACTTGCTACCTGTCTCTATTTCATTTCCTTATGCAACTTCATAAGGCGTTGTGAGTGCTCTCAGCTCCTCCCGGGGCTGCTCCTCTTTTGGAGTCCACACGTTGGGTTGTTCACCAATGGCACTTTCAAAGCTGATCGAAAGCTGTGTTTATGTTGACAAAGATGATATTATACTATGGTAATTATGCAACTTACTTGATACCTTTGGCAAAAAGAATAACAAATGTGTTGACTTCCAATTCCAAACTCCATCATTTACAGTTTCTCATTTAATACTTCATTTGAAATTTAAATACTGCAAAGCAGATTAAAACAAAAATAAAAACCAAACAAGCCCTTATAGTATAGGAGGAACAGATAAAAATTGTCTCAGCTGAAAGACAAAGACACCGAAGCGAATGTTTAAACCCAAGTCTGAACTGAATGTGCTTGTCTGAGAATCTAAGGTTCATTTGGGATGTCATTTACCAAGGTCTACTATCAAATAAATGTTACCTTCTGTCATATGATCAATTCCTCCTGACAGCTGCAGTCTTTTAACGGTGGAGAACAGCCTCTTTACTGTATAATTAAAATGTGCCATTTACTTAATATTTTTAATACCCAGTTTGCAAGGGGTCATCACATTTACAATTATCAACGAACAGTCTCATTTTGTCCAACATATGGTCCCACAAATCACTGGTCTCCAGAGGCTAAACAGGTGTAGAACAATGTCAATATTTATTTATTTATTCTTTCAGTTTATATAGTGTCTCCCCATCCCATACTCCACGCGTATGCCAGTTCACAATAAATACCCTAACCTGTTATATTTTGGCTTTGCTTGGCTACTGCAGCCCCTGTCTCTTATTTCTGTCTTTTATTTACATATCTAACAACAACTTTGATGTTTGTAAATATTAACCAAGCATGTAATTAAATCTTTCTCTATTTATGATTTACGGGTACTCTGCACTTCTCTGCTTTACCTACTGATCTGTTCCCTGCCACCCTGCTATCTGAGCAGACCTATGAAATTCCTACCGACGCTCATGCAAATGCCACGTGCAGAATGAGCCCCAGCAAAAGCCTGCGCTTGCTGGACAGGAACAGCTTTGACTTCATCCAGTGAGCAGTGATTCCAAATCAAATGCATCTTTTAACTTTTAAGGCTCTGGTTAGTGATACGGGGGGGGGGGAACTCTATCACTGGTTCCGTCTCCAGCTGGGCAGTGTACTCGTGGAACATCGCCTTTGCTTTTCCAGTAATTTCCAGGTTAGAAAGTTTTGTGGGGTTTTTTTGCTGAGCTTTCTCACTCTCGTTGCACGGAGCAGAGCTGCAGCTTGCAGCGTCTTCGCCTGGCACACCAACCTGAGCACTGACAGCGTCTCCCTCTGCACGCAAAGCAAGCCTACACCCAGGCAGTGCTTTTCTCTAACTGCATGGGAGCTGTATAGGCTGTGCATCAGGAATTTGGTTTTGGTTTTATTCCTCTGATCTCCTGGAAATTGGCATGCAAGGGCCAGCTCTCCGAACAGGCCATTTACGCTTTAAAAATCTGACTGCTCTCCTGTATGGGCTGCAGGGCCCAAGCCTGGCAAGTATTTGAAGTTCTACTTATGCCTGACTTGCAGGGACACAAGCGTTACGTGGCTCGTTTTCAAGAGGAGTGTGGCTAAATAATCAAAAGGTGAGTGTAGTGATCCTGGGGGCTTTGAGCCTCATCCTGGAGGTACCGCACCAGGTGAGTGAGCAGCTTCTGCTCGGGTGCAGAACTTGCTATTTCCCAGGTGGTGGGAGAATTAATTTCTTGGCCTTTGTAAAGCCAGACAATAGTGCAAAGTATGCTTTGTATGTCCCAACTTAGTTTTGAGGCTTTTATTCCTAGGCCTCATAGCTTACCACAGCTGTAGCTATGAAATCATTTCTAAACCGCTCCTTGTGGAGAGCAAGGGATTACGATGGATCTGGCCGGCTATTGAGCGGCGGCAGCAAGCTGCGACACAGGCCGGGCTTTGAGCAGCGGAGGGGGGGCAGCTTCCTTCTGCAAAGCAGCCTGTGCCTCTTGGTTCAAGGACTGAAAGGCAGGAGTGTATGGCAAGAAAGTTATTTATCATGTTCGTTCTGCCCTTTCAACACTTTCACTGTTCCAGTCGGTATCACCAATTGTCTGTACTGGTGAATAGCAGTTTTAAACAGCTGCGCGAGTGCATTAAATTAGTTAAGGATACCACAGCCACAGAGCCTCAGGACAACACATATGCTCCTATTAGTGCCAGGATTCTGCTCTGGCTCTTAATCAGCAGGCTCCAGTGATTACAGAGAAGTCTTTTGTGGCAACCTCTTAGCCCCTAAGTTGTACCAGGCTTTCCTATCTGGGTCTTTTTGCTTTTTTTTGCAGGACCTATGGGAGAGATGGGGGTGCTTTGCTGCACCTGAAGTCAGGAAATGCCATGTAGCCCTTGCCACGTGAGCAAAAGAATAGTTATTTATTGCCAGGTAAGAAAAGAGAAGGGTGTGGATACAAGAGCAGGCAGAGAGCGCGCTGGTGCCAGCAGGGGCTCTGCTCTGGCTGAGGGCTCTCTACCAGGGAGGCGCAGGGAGTGGGAGAGCAAGGCTGGGCTTCACCTTGAGTCCTGCTGGCAAAGACTGCCCAGAGAGCTGAAGCTTCCGAGTCGCTGTGTCCTTGCTCTGCCATCTTTCTCTTTAGTATCCCTGCCTTCTGAAACTGCACCAGCTACAGGCTCCTGCGTGCCAGCTCCAGATCCGCCTCTGCTGTTCTAAATTTTGTACCATTTTTGGCAAATATAAACCTCTGAACCCTGCCTAGCCTACCAGTTTGAACCACCAAAATGCAGTTGAGCTCAGTTTTTCCACAGAGCCTTGAAGCTATCCATAATAAAAATATTTCCCCGCTCGATGGTTCAGCTACCAGAGTCAGATCAGCACAGAGAGCAGCTGCCTACAGAAGACGCTCAGCTTCCCGGCTGGGACCTGCAAGGCAACGGCGCAGGCTGCAACCGGTAAGAACTCCCTCCTGCTCCAGGAAATCCTTACAAGTGAACAACGCGGCAGCAGTTATTACCTGTAGAGTTCTGTGCATTTCCTTAGATTTAGAGATTAAAGCTACTCACATCTGCAACTAGGCTTTTGGGCCACAAGGTCTGGAGAGCCTTTGTACTTTTATGCCTGTCCCGTGATCTCCTTTTTTGGGCCATTCCCATGAAGGGTAATATTTCATCCTTTATAGAGCATCCTTTGCGTTTGAGTCCTAAGGAAAGCTATCAGCTCTTCCTAGCTGTAAATAACCACAACGGCAATCAGCTGCTTTGTGCTTTTTATCCAAAAAAGACACCGTTTCCATTAGCAGCAGCACCAACAGCTTCTTCTGCCCCGCTGGTCTCTATGGAGCGTTCCACACCCAAGCACCGACCACAGAAACACTTATACGCTGCAAACCAGCGTGCAGCAACTCTGCTGTCCCTGCATTTCTAGTTGTTGGTTGTGATTTTTCTTCTTAAATTAGCAAGCTTTCAGGGAAAGTACCTGGCTCTTAGAATAGTTCAAACTCCTGTAACTCCCTTTCCTCTAAGTTTTGCCTTCCCTGGTTACCCTCCCCCAAACCTGTACAGACATTTAGTACATCAGTTGCAGAATCACGGAGAAATAGATAATTGAATATTCACACATGCAGAAACAACACAGGCAGAATGTGGAACAATGTGAAAACAAGCGCAAAAAGAGGCGGCATCTGTTTATTGAAAATTAGAATGTAGAATAAATTAAGAGGGCAAGGTTAAAACACTTCATCTGCAGGCAGAGTTTGTCGGGGAGGAAGGCTTTGCAGGAAGTTTAGCACACAGACCATATAAAGGGCTTATACAGTTTAATTTTTGCAAAATGGGCTTTTAATTTTTTTTTTTTTTTTCCCCAAGGACACATTTTAAAGGGGGAAAAAAAGTGTCCACATAAAGAATGGTTTTCCAATCTAGATGATTATATATAGTTGTTTCACAGTAATGCCAGAATTAAAACGCCTGTTAACTCTTACTGTGGGTGAGTAGGCTGTGTTGCAGTGCTCCAAATACTGAAGAAGAGAGGAAGTATTTTCAGCAATACCCTCGGTTCATGTAAGTGAATGTTGTGCTAATTTTTCCACCAGTGCCAATACAGGTCACATTGCCCCTTTCTAAAATGAATTACGAATTTAGCAAACTTGAATTTTTAATATCTGTTTGGGTGACATTCTACAGGGAAGAGAGTAGATCCAAGATAGCATTTGATGGACTGAGAAATGCAGTGAATTTGGTTGTGAGATCTGGAATTACCCTGCTGGCCTTTTCCAAGGCCTGCAAAGACACCACATCTATGAATAGAGGACCTGAGTTTTATAACTGGCTTTGTTTGCTTGTCTGTTTGATGCGTACCTTCCCATTTCGTACATTAAGCCTGCAAGAGGTTCACCATCTTAAAGCTGCTCAAGTAGACAAAAGCCATATCCTAGTCATTCATCATAAAACATGCTTAATTATGCTAGGACATATTGACACTGCATCAGATTTTTAATCGTCAACATAATTTTATAACCATTGCTAACAGATGGGCTGATTACACTGAATTTGAGTTTTAAGTAATAGTTAAAAATTATAAAATATGATTAAACTGAAAATACCCATGCATACATAATTTTCAGAAGCTACCAAAAGAAGGAAAAACGGAGCACGATAAAACCTCTTTTCTGTTTCCTGAGGGAAATGCGGTGCATCTGGGTGGACGGATATCAAGGTTTCTTAACTGACTCGGTAAGCAGCATGTGCTATGGGCAGCTCTGCTTCTCTGCAATTACAACAGACAGGCAGAACCTGGAAAGAGGAATTCCACAGGCCTGCTGCTCTATTCCAGCGTAAAAGACACAACTTTTTCTATTTCAGAAGCTGTTTCTTAGTTGTTCAAGATCCTTAAGCATGCAAGCCTTGGAGAGGAAGGCCCGGCGAGGGCAGGGTTGGCTTATGACATCCACTTTAGGACAGAGCTGGGAAAGCCTTCGGGTCACCTACATCAGGAGCAGAAGCACTTGCCTGGTTGGGTGTGGCATGTGGGCAGGTGCTGGCTGAAAAGAAGGAGAGTTCTTAGCAGCGCTGGTGCTCCAAGCCTGCGCGAGGACGCAGAAGCCTGAAGGAGCTGGGTAAAAGGAGCAGAGCTGCACTGGTGTCTGTCTGTCCAAATACCAGTGGTATTGGTACTGACACTCAATATGCAAGGAGACTGTGATTGCTCTGTGAGCCTCGGGTTGGTACATGACTGGCTGGTAATACCAGAAGCGTCTACTGGTTTACGTTTTAACTTAAATCTTTAAGACCTAAAATGCTTGCAAAGCATCCATACAAACTGGCAGGAAGACGTGCTCAGAAGTGTAAGTAAGGTATAAGTAAGTTTAACATTAGGGAGTCATTGAGGTGCTCAAAATTATTCTTAGCCGCTGTCCAAAGTCACCGTGTGCACGAGCATCTGCTGGCTAAAGCCTACAGTGATATTTTCAGCTGCCACAGAGCCAAGCTCCATGCTGCCGGGCTCTCGCTCCCTGGCAGAACAGCCCAGTTGTTGCTTCTGCTTTCACACTTCTCCTCTGCATACGGGGTCCAATGCAGACCCCTCAGCACACCCCCACCCATTTCAGCCTGGCACAAATGACCATGGGGGTGAGGCTTTGGTGACAGGAGACTATGAAAGCAAGCTTGGCAGGGGATGAGTTCCCTTTCAAGGACACCACTTACTGGCAGGTGGAAGGCTTACCTGAGTTACAGCAAGGCTCTATCCTTTTGTTTATTAAGCAAAGTGAAGAGGCAGACTTTGCATCTATACGCAGAGGAACTGCTCCTGTTGGTGGTAGCAACCAGCGTAAAAGCTTTCCAGGAGCTCCTGCTCTTTAGCTTAAGCAGTTCTCTGTGCATTGCATAGGGAAGCTAAGCATTTGTACTGTGTTTAAACCAAACTGTTCATGTGTAAAATAATACAGAAAGCTTTCAGTTAAATAATGTTCATTGTCTGTCCTAAGTACCCTTCATACAGACAGCATCTACCATAATGTTCATTGTCCTAAGTACCCTTCATACAGACAGCATCTACTAAGACATAATACATAATTTCTTTTAGTTCATGGGTGGCTTTCAGTCTTTTTCTCTATTGTACTTAAATTCAGCACTTACTTTCTTCTTTTCTCCGAACTGATTTTGGACTGTTGTTTTGGTGTATCCTTGGTAAGTCAGTCTAGACTAACACTCTGCAAGCCTTCAGCTCGTTAGTATCATCAGAACTGTCAGTCACATCTGCAACTGTCCATACCAAATAATTAGACTAAACCAGATTGCCCATTTGGCAGTGGTTGATGAATACAATGCAAAAATGCTTTATTTCTGTTCGCGTTAACTTTTTGTCAGAGAAGAATGATAATTTCCAGACTGTTTACATTAGTTTCTCATGCACCAGGAGCTGTTACACATTTACATAAAGCTCTGTGTTTTCAGAAACTTCCAGCCACTACAGATAGTACTAAATATGTCTTTAACAATCTACTAAACACATCATGAAATGTTTTGTTATAATATCTGCTCTATCCTTTGAAAGTCAAAAGTAAGAGAGACATCTGTTCTGTAAGCTACTCAAATTTCAAAGACATCTCTATTAATCGCTCTTGAAGAAGGGGTTTTATTTATTTATTTTTTTTTTAAAAAAAAGCTTTTTAGAAGCACAATCCTCTTTGAGATGAATTAAAACTCCTCCCAGGTACAGGAGCTTACAAGAAGCTGCAGTGAAAGTTCAGTAAGTCACCTCCATAATGAAAAGAACCTCCACGTTCTGCACTATTAAGTAGCCTAAAGAGGCTTTTAGCTACTGCATGATCTGAAGGAACGGTAGCCAATTTAGGCAAAAAGATTATCTAGTTTGTCTTGGTAAGATCAGTGTAATGAAAGAGAAGCTGCTCTGAACAAGATTTTAGGGATATTTTTGTGGAGCTATTAGACACAAAAATAATCTTTCCTTCCCATTAATATTGCAAAGTTAAAATTTGAATAACTTTAAAAGTAAGCAGCCTGTTCACCAGTGTTGCCATTATGGCAAACTTATGACTCCCAAAGTCCAGTGAGCACTTTCAGAAATACAGGTTATTGAGGGAAGTGAAAAGTGTGAATGCCACAGGTGTTAATGAAAGTCCTGAGACCTTTAGGCGAAGAAAAAAAAAAAATGTAGAAAAAGTTACAGAGCTAGATCTGTCCTGGAAAGACCCAAAAGATAATCCATACCACAGCAAAATATTTGGAAGAGCCAGCTTTCCAGGCAAACAGAAATAATGCCTAGCCTATGAGCAATGGAATAAATTCCCCAAACAAATATTTTCTTTAAAAGTCTTTGGAAGTCCTCTCTCCTTTTTTCTCAGACCATTCACACCTCGTCTAAGTTAAATGGATAACTAACAGTGTCATGGCTAATAAAAAGACGGTGGGATCACTGTAAGTTATGGGTTAAAATTAAGAAAATAATAGTATTGAAGAGGACAGGAAATCTGAGCCTACCTTTTCGCATATCGCCCACAATGACAACAGAAGAGATTTTACACTGGAATCTGAAAGACTTTAATGTTTTAATACAGGTGGAAGGTTAAGACAGCTATATACATTTTGTGCAACACATACACAAGCCCTCTCTTCACAAACTATAGCTCTACCATACTGGCGTAGCTCCTGGCGAATGCACTGCATTCAACAAGTTCAGTACTAGAGATCACCTTTTTTTCCTCCTACTAAAATAATAAATTAGAAATCACAAAGTTATGATTTTCTTAAGAACACACTGAATAAGATTTTCAAACGTACAGCGTTAAGAGAGTCAGGTCTCACTCAATGTGAATCGAGTTGTGAAATTACTTTGATTCTCTGAAATACAGGCTCTGCTCATGTAGACGTTTTAACACGTAATAGATTTGCTGTAGCTTTCAAATCGCCATTCAACAAGATATTGAGAGTTACACTTCAGATGCATGACAACATTTAAATACCACAGAAATTATTAAAATTAATACATTACTGGGGGGGACCCCACAAAATTGAGAAATGTAACGAGAAAGAACTTGGCTAGTGTGTTGTAGAGTGCAGCTTGCTTTAAGTACTGGCAGTGTCGGAACACTCAAGAGGAAATGATTAATCACCAGCACACTGCTAACCTGTCTCATGTTCCAGTTTTTGTATCTCTTCTTGTCCAGCCTCTGTGAGGTGAGATAAGAGTCTTTTATAGGCTTCTCTGTTGAAAAAAACCCAAAAGAATGTAACATGTTACTTACTTACACAATATCTCACACATCCTAGGAGTAAAAGCACATAATTCCCAAGCACATTGTTTACATACTGGGATATTAAAACACACTAACTTTCTTCCTGTCCCTTCCCCCCCCACCCCCCCCAATTAGTTCAGCTGCCTTACTTGCTGTGAATTCTTAGCCTGGCCAGGTTGGAAGAAGAATAAGGATTGCATTGTTTATGGCTACAAGTGGAGTGAAGATGCTTGGAAGTTTATTTGTTTAGTAAAAAGCTGTGAAATAGATTTTTTTTTTTTTTTTTTAAAAAAAACTGTAAAACATGGAGTTTCCAAGGCTTAGATGGGATTGGCATTCAGGCTTCATCATGTTTGCTTTCCGATTTCTGCATTAGAAAGCTCCCTGTGACTCATGCTGCAGCACAGCGACGTGAGCCACAGGCAGCGGGGTGCAGACTGGCACCGACACAGATTTTGACCATCGTCCCCAACAAAGGGCAAGGACCGCTTTAAAATAAACCTGGAATTCAGAAGGGGGCTGTCACTCAAGTGGGTTTTCCAGAAGAGTGCATATGCATTGGCCAAACTTTTCACCTGAAGTTTATTCTAATACTCTCCAACCTAGACAGTATAATTATTGTTACAGTACTGCCGCTGACATTTAGGTCTATTCTAATTATATGGCTTTTTCATGAAATGTTAACAGGAGAAACAAAACCGCCGCTTTCATACTAGTTCCTTGCAATAATAATACTGGACATCACCACTATAAGCACAGCTCCAAGTACTCCAACTGTACTCTGGGCTGCATCGGGAGAAGCGTGGCCAGCAGGTCGAGGGAGGTGATTCTGCCCCTCTACTCTGCTCCGGTGAGGCCTCACCTGGAGCCCTGCGTCCAGCTCTGGAGCCCTCAGCACAAGAAGGACATGGAAGTGTTGGAGCGGGTCCAGAGGAGGGCTACTAAAATGATCCAGGGGCTGGAGCACCTCTCCTATGAGGACAGGCTGAGGGAGTTGGGCTTGTTCAGCCTGGAGAAAAGAAGGCTGCGGGGACACCTGCTTGTGGCCTTTCAGTACCTAAAGGGGGCCTATAGGAAAGACGGGGAAAATCTTTTTAGTAGGGCCAGCTGTGTCAGGACAAGGGGTAATGGTTTTAAACTAAACCAGGGCAGGTTTAGACTAGATATAAGGAAGAAATCCTTTACAATCAGGGTGGTGAAACACTGGAAAGTTAGCGGTGTCTCTGCTCACTGCAGGGACTAGATGACCTCTAGGGGTCCCTTCCAACCCAAAACATTCTATGATTCTATATATTTCAGGAAGCTCAAACAACCTGTTTTGGGGTTTTTTTTTTTCATATTTCATAGGTAAAGGGATGAATTTTTCCTTATTAACAGTATAAAAAAAAAAGATTGGCTATGAAATACATTATCAAAAGATCAAAAGCAAATAGCATGAAAATCCTGCTCCTAATGGTTCTTCACTCTGACTTCAGGTGGATTCCCTTAAATAAAAGCAAATGTATTTGTTGGTAGAGGATAATAAAAAGTGAATAATGTAATTACAAATGAGTTAAATGCATTTTTCATTAAATGGAAAATTAATATCCTTTGACTACCCTTGGGTTTTTTATAGCCCAGGCCAGGCTGACGCACACCTCAAAACTTCTCCAGCTCCAGGCTGGAGGACCTGCCCTTGGAGTTGTCCCAGTGCATGCATTAAAGCAAACGCCGAGGCTGGTTCCTTGCCCAGACCACACGAGGGTCAAGGGCCAGCCTTCCAGCGAGCAGAACGAACCGGAGGAGCCCCTTTGGCTCGGGTGCTGCACTGGGCAGAGCTTCCTGGGGTTTTGCAATAGCGTTTATATTATATAGGTGCTGAAACTTCACTGCTGCATCTGCACCCGGCGGGGCCACCATCTGTGCAGAGCTGCTCACCTCATCTGCCACTGCCTCCTCCTAACGCCAGATGGACTCACAAGTCAAATATTTCTGCCCTAAGCTCTCGGGGGCAAAGGGAGCAAGCGTGAGTCTACTGTGCCAATCGGAGAGAGGGGGCCAGCCTTTTCTGGACACCCACCACTCTTGTATGTCTGTATTATGAGAGAACTCTTGAAATTAAGCCATGGGTCTTTCTTTTCCGAGCAACTCGGATTGTACCTGATTATACCGTAATTTTAGAAATGACCCATAAAGTCCTCTAGAACAGGGACTGGTAGGAAAGTTGTTTGGGGCAGGAATTCTTCTTTCTTTATTTTGTTTTGCAACATAGAGTGTAGTGAGCAGAGCCAACCCTGCTTCACAGAAATTCTACTGGAGCCTGTAGCCCTAGTCTCAAAACATCTCTGGAAATATTTAGCCAATATTGATGGCTTAAAACCATGGAAAGCCTGAGCAAAGGGAGATTTCTGGCTGAACACATTTAAAAATCACTCATTTTTGAGTGCCTGTGCTGCTGTCTTAACATCGCTTTCTTTCAAGAGAATAAACCTCTACCGCTCATTGTCAAAAAACAATATTAAATAAAAATCAAACCTCTGTGCAGCATTTCTTCCAAGACCTTGTTTGTGCTCTGAATCCTTCAGAGACTGTGTGATTGTGGGAATCAGGCTGGTAACGAACGTCTGATCCAAGACTGCCACTGTTTCGAGTATGCTGAAAACCCGGTGATCATACACGGCAGTATACTCCTGGATAAACTGCCTGAGGGGGACACAGAGGCATTTAATGCAAGGTCAGAACTAGATGCAGAGAACATGCCAAGAACAACTGAAGAGTCTAATCAGAACGAGCAATCTGGCTGCATGGCAATTTTCGTATTGTTACACTGCAATACTCTACATGGAATACTTCCTCTAAACGAAGCCATGCTTTTGAAGGCGAATGCTAAAAAAACCCCCACGTTTATTTTAAAGCAAATTGTCAGGATTCTGCTGCTGTTCCCACCAGGGCTGATCTGTTCCAGAGCACTTCACTTTGTAACGTGGCTGAAAGCAAAACTAAAACATGTATTTATTATTTAATACAAAATAATAATAATATTTTAAAAAACCCAAACACAAGGGGAAAACAAGAGATCTAGATTCAAGCCTGCAGAAATCATGTTAGCATTTCTTAAAAAGCTCCACCGGACCTTAGGCAGGCCAGACCACTGGATGGAAGTGCACCCATTTGTCTTACTCAGGGTTTGGGGCCTGTAAGATCACAGATTACATGCAAATCAGCAGTAACACACCCTAGGGATGAAACCACGCACGGGAGCCTGGCAGGCCACAGAGACCTGTTCTTATTTCAGCGAGTCTCTCTAGAGCTTTCATCTAAGACATGACCCAAGACAGCAGCAGTGCTTAGGTTTGCAAAACGTCTTCAGGTCTCGGGTCATGCAGCTCTTCTACTCTATCCATGTGAGAAACTGGATTCATTTTGCAGAGATATGGAATAAATATAGTTTATAATAATCTATTACTTATTTGTCACAAAATCAATCAAAAAACCCAAAAGCTAAGCTGCTTGTATGAGGATTCGATCTCTGTTATATACACTTCAAATTAGGCAGGCACATCTTTCACAGCACCTGACACTGACCATCCGCGTTCATGAGGAGTTCTTCCCACTGCAGCAGCAGTATATATATATACACAATATACCTAGATATATAGCATAGATCTACTATATACCTTTCAAAATAGTACTTAATCCCTCAGAATGCAGGTATGATTACCTCTTCTACTTTCTTGCTGTGGATTTTTGGCCAAGCTATGTTTAAAACCAGTGCCAAAAGCACCATTATTGAAATACCATAAACAAGTGGCAATGCTGTATGCTAAGGATAATTATTTAAAAAAAACATGTTTGCTGTCAATTGGCTTGCAGTAGCTTCACTGCCAGTCGGCATATTTTCCAGTTACCTAAACACAGAAGTCAGCTGGGTGGCACGTTCTCCTCCTGACCCTGCTTGGCAGCCTTCTACCATGGACTGTACAATGTCTGTAGATAATTTTTTAACTGAAAAAGAAAAATCACAAGATTCACACAGAGCTCTTGAACTGACCATCTGGAGAATGTCTTTCATGAAGACTACAATTTTTAAATGAGAAAAAAAAAAAAGGTTTTATCTTACTTTGATGCAAGGGAAATGACTGTAAGAGCAGTTAGGTAGATTGGCTATAAGAATAGAATGAATCGCAGATTTATGCAAAAGTCTTATTTTCACCACTATTATCCTTTAAACACAGATTTTTAAGTACACTGTGGTCTCCTTAAGTCAAAGCAAAGAGACACACACTTAGTGGAAATGGAGATTTCATTTAAGTTTAAGCTCTGCTTGTATTCTTTAATCCTATTTGATTTAAAGAAAAGCAGTCATGGCATTATATCCTGCCAAAGCTATACAGATCTACTCCTCATTTTCAGTGGTGGGTATTGTTCTGAATTCCACCCTACCTCCCTCTTTTTTTTTAAGGGGGAAAATACCCCCATAAACTCCCACTATTTTCTTCCCCTTAATTGTTTCCAAATAAATATTCCAGCTGCAAGATGCAGCTCTTCCTTTATAAAGGTAGGACTGGGCTGCAAGGACTTTTCTACAAGGCTGTGGTGGAGCCCTTGTCTAGGCGGGCAGTGAGCTGGTGGCCACTGCCACAGAAGACACTCGGCTCATTCTGCTCCACATTGGGTACTTTCAGCTTCAGGCAGATATGGCTATCTGATGGCAAAAGGGGGGAGAAAGGTGTGCGTGTGATGATTCAGCTCATTTCCTAAGCATACCTCGTCCTTGAAGCTTTTATAAAACCGAATCAAAAAGTACTTTATTAGACAAAATTCCCAGGAGAAGTCAGAGGTGAATGCCCATTTTGCTTAATGCCTCTACTGGTAGCAAGAAGTGGAAATTTTGAGCTTAGGCACGCATGCACATTCGTTATACAACCATGGGGTGAACAGAGGAGTGCTTTGTTTTTTAAGAAGCTAAAAATAAAGAAGTTCTCACTACCAAACAAAGCCTGCTAAAAGAAGAAAGCAAGCTCAAAGATGCCTTCAGAGAGCAACATGCTACTTTTCATCCATTTATAATGCCTCTGTGGGGGGAACATACACTAGTCTTACTTGGTCTCAAACCTTTAGGTGCAAGAAAACTTCCATAGTTACCAAGTCTGACAGAAATGAGATGGGAAGGATGAGGAAAAAGTAAATGCTCTTCAGATTCCTGAGAAGCTGATCATCAGTTCACCAGAGCACGAAACAAGGCAGGGCTTCTCTGCCTCTTGGGGGCAGAAGTCGCAGCCCGGTTAATGAAAAAAGAAACCTTGTCCAGTTTATCTGGCCAAAGCATCTCATTCACCTCATCTAAGAGTCTTAAACACTGGCATGAAATGAAAGATGCTCAGCAGTACAAGAGTCTTACAGGCATGCAGAGAAGTATCAAAGGCAAACGAGCAGCTCACCTTGTAGCTCATTAACCAACACCATGCATTTCAACACGGCCGGGAGAACTAAGTCCACGTCACATAGTCCAGCGCTCTGGGTTCTCTGAAGTACTTCGAGAATGAAAGCAAGAACTGAGGCCAAGCGAGGAGGTGGAGCGTTACCTTTGAACTGCATGAAGTTTTCACTGGGAAGACAAAGAAAACCAAAACAGAGTCTATATTTTGTGGGTTTTTTCCATCCAATGTGAGCAGCATACACCTTAAAATAACTTTGTGATATTTCAG